TAGGTACTCGAAGAATATTAGCGTTTGGATGCGCATTGTGCGGCTTTAAAAGGTGCGTATACATGTTTTACTCCTATTTGATAAAATAATAACAATAAATAAATAATATCAATGATTAATAATAGTAATAATAACAATAATAATAATAATAATAATAATAATAATAATAATAATAATAATAATAATTCATTAAGTAAAGGCGGGTTAGTGTCGAATTTTCTACTTTAACTAGCTGGGTTAATACTGGAAGTTTCACATACACTATACACTATACACTACACATTCACATTCACATACACATTCACATTCACATACACTCACATTCACATATATATGTTCACACTATATGTCGGGAGAGTATGGTATCGATCCTGCACTCGTGATTATGTAAAAAAAATGTGTACGTGCGATTATCGGCGTCAATCCCCCACTTCTATTGTCTAGGGATCACACCAGATAGACGTGGCTACCTTCAACAAAATATTCGAGCATTACGACAAGGTGAGTTGCATGACCGCGTGTCTCGCTCTCTATGCGTACTAGGCAGTACATGCTCCCCCATGCGTGCGCTTCTCGAATTCGAACGAAATAACCTACTGTAGGAAACGCTGCGTAATTGCCGTCGTACGGTTCACAGCAAACGTCGCCATTGTGAACACTGCGTTGTATTGTCATTCACATTACTTGCAAATTCTGTTATGCCGCAGTCAGATGGATTTGCAATGATGGCCAGCAATCACGTGATCGCATGTTTTAGTTCATTTCATGACCACTATGCAGTCCGTCGCGCCGCTGTCAGATTCATCGTAGATCTATGAAACAAACATCGGGACTAAAGTAAATCCTAAGAATTGTATGGTCACGATACTCTGCATATGCAGATAAAGATGGTGTTTTAATACATGATGCGTAGATACGAGAATAGCGTTGTCAACGTATATCCTAGCACTGCAGCAAACTGAACTTATTGGTTTCTGTCACACGGTCTTTGATTGGATAGGAGACGGTTGTTTTTGTATGATTGGTATTTTAACGGAAATCTGAAACGATTCGTGAAACATCGTAAAACATTAATAACGTTTACTTTACTGAATCTTTATTATGATGCACTATTAGAAACAAACTCCACGACGATTATATCAACAATGAGAAAATCAGGTTCTCCTATAGTAAATACTAAATATAAACCCTCGAGTTATATAATTTTATTCTTTGCATCGTCGTTTACATATCGTTACAAATTTGCTACCGTGACGCATTAAGCAGTCATCTCTGTGTAATCACAAACGCGTTTAACCGCCAAAAGTTGTTATTTTATCGGTGAACGCACGACGTTAGATTTAACTGTAACCAATATGCAACTTGTATAATTAATAGAATATCTCACAGAATTAGTGTATTATTTAGGCTGATCGCGGAATTTGCGCTAATATTGATGATGATGATGATGATGATGATGATGATGATGATGATGATGATGATGATGGTGGTGGTGGTGGTAATGGTGATGATGATACTAATAATAACAATAGTCAATATTACTATAATAAAATTTCTAGGACAAGAACGGCACAATATCAGGGTCCGAATTGGATACATTCCTCATGGATATCCTAACAGGACTTCGCGTACGTATATGCTACTTACACTATGCCTTATCGCAAACTCGATATTTTATTCAACGTTACTCCAGTCATGTGTTAATCACCTGAATCGTATATCTTCTATCCGCGCTACATGATACTCAAATTGTACCTTAATTTTAAACTCTAATTTTTTAGATTTGGGGTTTTTCTTGTCCTAAGCCATGTATTTTAATCTTGCGGTACATATCATTCAAATCACGTTTTATTTTAAACAGCCATTTTTGGTTCATATAGATACGATGTTTTTTTAATCTTGAATTTGTAGTACCACTAGTGTTGTGCTCTATAAGAAACATAATATCTTCAATTTGTGATACATATGACTAAAGTCGTGCCTCATCGTAAATCTTAAATGTCTTCAGATTTTAAATATATGCGTGAATTTGGGCATGACCTTGCCTAATAAATTTCGATAATTATCAAAGCAATAAATCACGCGGTAGTTGATCGACGAATTATATCTATTAATAAAATAGATGATTAATGACGTTGGCGTAGTATTTTTACTCATGATCTAGCCAATCGATTACATATATATATATATACGTCAAGTTACGGTCGCGCGACGTACAAACCAAAATCTAAATGGAATGTAAAATAAGATAATAAATGCGTTGGGTAAAATCTTTTACGTGTACACACTTCCGTTCGGCCGTTTTTTGGGCGCACAGTGTGAAGCTTTTGCTAGATAGCGCGCGCGAGTTGTCATTCATGAAGTCCATTTACACGAGGGTTCTAAATATAAGGTACTTTAATATTATACAGTTCCTTTATAACATTATCCTCTGCCGCTAATTGAGGTAACTTCTATTAAGGCACGTAATCTAAAGTTCGGACATATGAGTCCCTTATCATAGATATCATTTCCTTACAGTCTCTCTAAAACAATCGTTCCTCATCGCGTGGCATTACAATGATTTTAGCCCGACGACGAAGCGTCTAACCAGGATCTGCAGAAATTCAAGAAGATGGTTATGAAATCGTGCGACCTGACGAAGGACGGCCAGTTGCAGAAGGAGGAGATGGCATTGTGGCTGGGAATACCCATCTCTATTTATTGAATGCGTCACCCGCGATGTGTGTGTGCGCGCGTTGATCACTCCCCAACTTGCATCTTTCTTTAGTCGATTGACTTACGTTGATCGAGTCCGCTAGATGGCAGCACGGTGGAGTGTATCGTCTGCGCACCTAAAAAATCACAGGTGGAAGATAGTATATGATTGCTCTGCAAAAGTCTCATGCCAGCTATACCTTGGTTACTTCTGCGCTTCCTAGTGCAATGCAGCGTACAGTTCCGCTACTCAGGGTACTAACTACTACTGTGTGAATTACTAGGCAAATGTCTCGCACCCTGGTGTCCAGAGGTGTTCGCATACAATATGCTAGGTGCTTCCGCCCTTTTTCGGTATACACAACACTTCAGCGTTACACCACGAGTAAGGCGTGTTGTCCGCCTCTATTATACGTACTTGAGCCGGCCCGAATCTTTAACGTGTTAAATCGGTAACTACGTTTCGTGCATATATCTAAACAACGCACGGCGGCATGGACATCACCACTGGAACCCATATGCCAAGAGAGATCCTTGTAGACTCCATTTCAGGCTTCCGGTTTCACGAGTTCCGGGACGTCATTTCCGAACCAGATCGTCGTCGAGTTCGCAGCAATGTTCGTAAGCCTTTGTCAATAACGACCAACTGTTACCGATGACGATATTACGCTATAGCCATCGCCGGGTCTCGATTCGATTAATCTGGATTTGATTACTCAGTGACCAACGGCACCGAGCAATTAAGGAATTAAGTATCATTCCATTGGTTACCTTAGCCGGTTAATCGGCTTAAACCTTCTTATATATGATTGCTTGGTACGCTGAACCGTCTGTACGAGATGCCTTGTCATAAGTCTGGCTAATTGCCAGCTTTATAATTAATGAATGTTACGTCACGTTGTGACATCACGATGATGAAATGTTTAAAAAATTAGCATCATAATTGCTGAGCGCGGTCACAACAAGTTTCTGTCGTGAGCTACATACACAGCACACACACACACATGTGCACAAACACACACATACACATACACACAGGCACACACACACACACACACACACACACACACACACACACACACAC